AGGGAAACAAATTTCATTTGTAAAAGGTTTTAGGTTGATGTGTTGAAGTCTCTTTGGATCAGGCATTGACACACCATAACTCGAGGGCACAGCAGCTGCTGCTTTTTCTCAAAATACTAAATCCAATAGTGGCAAAGTGTATTGGAGAAATGAGCATAAAACATAATTGATTATGCTGTGAATCTTAATGTACTTTTATTTACTGAATCAAAAGTGCTCAAAGCTACATAACTTTTCTTGCAGCACTCTCTCACTCAGCAAACACAATAGGGATATTATAGCTATAAACTAAATGCCTTCACACATGGATCCTATCAACTCAGTCATGTGTCTATTTAACTTTTCCATAGGGAATTCACATAAATGATTTAGTTGAATATTAAAAAGAAAATATTCTATATACAAACCATTCATTTGAACCAGCATGATGCATTTTTCAGGGTTTTTTTCGTCTCAGAATATTGATTTATCAAGTCCTGCAAAGCATAATTAAATCTGTAAAACACTGACTCTGTACTCAGTTACCTTCCATCTGGGGATCACAAAGCATTTTCAGAAACAATAGTGAATTTAACTTCATGGTACCTGCAAGATGAGCATTAACCCCATTATTTAGAAGAAGAACTGATCCTGCCGCCCTTATTCATATAAATAAATGGGTCAAAACCTGGACAATCAGTCTCTAAGTAACTTGCCCAAGGTCATGCACAAATACACGGCAGACCTATGAATTAGCTCATTTTCACGTATCTTAAGGACTACTGAGAAAATTGGGCAATATACCATGATGGAAACGACTAAACTGACATCTTGCTAAAGCAATACTTAGAGAAAGCCACACCAAAACAGTTATTGAACAGCTGTAATATATGGGATCCCTTCGTCTACATGAACATTCTAAATGTATGTGTTATAATCAAGCATTGGAACACATTTGAGCAACTGATATTTATTTTAAGTTTTAACATTTGAGGGCAAATTTGTTCCAATTAACTTACACATCTAAAGTGAAACTCTAGGTATTCACATTCACACTTGAATTCAGGATTCTCCACCTTGAAAGGTCAGTGTTAGGACACTACAAAATCCCAGTAATAAGTGAGTGAGAATATTGTCTTCTTACTACAGAGTCATAGGTACAACCATCTACCCAAAGTAAAAACAAAAGCCATTTTACTTTAGATCACTGTTCTGGGAATGACTGAAAGCTATGTACACAGCAACTTCAAGTGCAACTCAACAGACAACTTTGTTTGGTAAAGCAGTGTAGTTTGTTATGTTTGCATCTCTCAGCCATTTCTGTTTATTTAAATACAATACTTTGAAACAATCATTCTTCATTCATTAAAGAGAAAATCAGTTATGTTTCTCAGTGAGAAAGAATTAAATTCATATTTACTTTGTAATATAACTTCATTATTAAAAAGGGCTAGCGCTATACTAGTTTAGGGCATTTACTGATGTGCAGAAAGATGTGCCATTAGATAAGAAGTCGATGGATGAAATGATAGGTGCAAGACTTTCAATATCCTGTAATACTTCACATGTTCAATTTATGCTCATATTAAAACAGTCTTTAAAGCTACAGAATATATTTTATTATTTAAGTCTGATTTAGAAACATTAAACATTTATTAGACCATTGGAAACTTGAAACATTTAGAAGCCCTTATTTATTAGATGTATCTGACCAACTCTACATCCCCAATTTACTAATATATTTGAGAGAAATGGCTAGTAAGTAATAAGGCATTAACCTTGTTTGAAAAAATTAGTCATAGCTTTGACAATTTTTTCTGATGTGTCAAATGAAATTTTAAAGTCAGCGTTACAGGGTATGTCCTTTAAGAATTAAATTATCAATACAAGACAAAGTAATTATTTACATTTATTGTAAATATTTTAATACATTTAATTCACATAATACTAAAGTGTGGTTAACATACCAAAATTCACAAAAAGTATCTTTCAATCATCACTAATAAAAAATGCTATCAATGTGAATTTATACTATCCATGCTTCTTGGGTTCGGTTTGCTTTACTGTAAAATCATCAAAATATACACCAGAAATTTTAAAGATTCACCTAAAATGGAACAATATATGTGTAAATGTTAAGCAAAACAATAATATTGATAGGCTTGTACTGTACAAATATTTTCTTCCAAATAAGCAATGAAGTTCACTTCATACATTTTGGCTTTTCCCAAACAGATAATATCCATAGTTTTTCAGTATTCCTAAATATATACACGTATGATTTTAAAGATCAATACATAATTTGAAACAATACATATGCAAAATAAACAGAAAAAATACAAGTCAGTCATTGACTTCCATTCTTCAGATATCAGATCCATTCTCTGAAAAAGGTGGCAAAGATAACTTAAGCAGTAAAAGAAACAAATACTTCTTCAGACAAAATTCCAAAAGACTATGTTAAAAAAACCTAATGGTCTTCCAGTCAGCTGCACCAACAGAGCAATACTTCACTGGTATAAAAAGGAAACACTCACATTTCAGTAGCCAAGGAAAGGCTCAATTTCTGCAGAAGGCGGCGGAGGAAGAATTGTTTGCTACCCATCAGCATGCAATCCCGAGAAAACAAAGGGGATTCCCATTGTCATTGTCTTCCTCTGTAGCTGATCATCACCAGCACTAGCAAGGCAGTAGCTTGCGCAGTTATCTCCACAGCGGGCAATGTCACAACCCGACCAACAGCACAAACTACTACCTCAGCCAGGGCCATGGTGCACCCGACCCGTCCTGAAGAGGAAAATAAGCAGACAGGCACGTTGGGCAAGACATGAAATTACACGGAAGCAAAAGCAGATACCAGGGTTCTGGGTCCTTTGATGATCCTCGATGTGCCGCAGACATTAGCCAGACTCTCCTGGCCCGGCTGTGGCGAGCAGAGAGAAACCCCGCCCAGCTCCCTGCTCGGCTTTGCCCTGTTCCTGGCGTGACCTGAGCGCGCCGCGCAGTAGCGACACTGCAGCCGCCTGCGGCCCCCAGCGCGGGCTGAGCTGCGAGCTGCCACCGCAGCGGGGCGGGGCGAGAGCCGAGCCCCCCCCGCCCACGGTCTTGTCCGGGCCCGCTGGGCCGGGAGCTGCGTCCCACCGGCCGTGCTGCCTACGCCTGCCCGGCACTGCCCTGCCGCCGCTGCCCGCCTCCTCCCCGGCTGCCCGGGCCGGCGAATCCGCGCTGCCAGGCAGGGCTCGGGTCTCCCCCCCCCCCCCGGCAGAGCCCCGCGGCAGGGCGGGGAACGCCCGACCCGGCAGGCGAGCCGAGCTCCCGTCCTGTAAGGCCGCAGCTGAAGCGACGCCCCTCGGCTGAGGCACGAGAGACCCCGCTGAGGCGCCGTCCCGCGCCCCCGCCGCCTGTGTGGCCGGCTGCACTGCACCATAGAGCTCGCGTGCGGGGAGAGAGGGGCTCCCCGCCACTGCCCACGTGACGAGGCATGTCAATCACCCAGCCGGCGCCATCTTGAATGGGGAGGGCTGCTGCCTCACGGAACCAAACCCTCTGTTACCCCGATCAGCGAAGATGGCGCCGGCCGGCGGGAGGCTTTTCCGCAGAGACAGAGCAGCCCTGCGCCCCCCTCTGGAGAGGCCACCTCACTCCCCGCTGCATCCGCCGAAGGGGGCCGCGCTCAACTTGGCTCCCGCGGGCAGGAGGCGGCGGCGGCGACTTTCCCGCGCTAGTTCCAGCTACATAAAATCCGCGGGAAAATATGGGGCAGGGCGCGCGTTTCTGCGCATGTCTCCGAGCGCACGGGCCTCTGGGAATTGTAGTTGTGAGGGCAGGGGCGGTGACGAGGTCTGGCTAGAGGGGAAGGAGGCGCGGCTGCAATGCCCAGCATGACGGCAGGCAGGCTGCTCGGCCATTCGCACCGGGATCAGGGTAACGAGAGATTTCCGGCAACTGGCGCCGTCCCCCCAAGTTGATATTTTCCACTAACTGCCGGAGCCTGAAATGAACAAGGCAAGGCCCTGCCCCTTAGGAAACAGCAACTGCAGGGACTGGGAGAAGAGAGATACAGGAGCATAAACCGTTTATTGCAGACACTAGAGGAAAAGCCTTACAGTGAGGCTATGGCTACATTAGTGTGATCTTGCACAAAAGCGGCTGCTTTTGCACAAACAGCTGCTGCCTGTCTACGGGGGCAAGAACACTGATGTTCTAGTGTATGAGATCAGGGCTTCTTGTGCAAGACCCTTGTTGCTCCTCTTGCACAACTGTTCTTGCACAAGAGGCCAGCGTGGACAAGCAACATGAATTTCTTGCGCAAGAAAGCTCTATGGTTAAAATGGCCATCAGAGCTTTCTTGCGCAAGAGAGCATCTACAATGGCATGGATGCTCTTGCGCAAGTTCTTGCGCTCTTCTGAGTTCTTGCACAAGAACTCTTCTGCAAAAGAGTTCTTGCACAAGATCATGCCAGTGTAGACGTAGCCTGAGTGTCTTAAAAAGCTCCAGCACTTAGTTTAATTAAAAAAAAGGGGGAAGGGCACCCCCCAGCATAATCCCAAAAAAAGGATTTTTTTTTAAACTTAGCCCAGAAAGGACAGAAACCCATAGACAAAAGATGAGGACAGAAATTTAAACAAGCATAAAAAACAAATTTTAACAAAGAAAGCAATTCACCATTAGCACAAATTACCAAAGGAAGTAGTTGATTATTTAGTGCTTAGATTTTTGACCAAATCACATCTTCCTGAAAAGTAACAGGTTGACTAGATGATGATCACTCTACAAGATTGGTAGTAATGGACAATATAGTTCACAGCTTAAAAGAACTACCGAAGCACAGCACTGAAACTGAAGTTACAGAGAAAAACATCTCTTTAAAAAACAGCTGCTTATATTTTTGAATTACAGTTACACAAGTAGCAAGGCACTATTCTCACACACAAAATGACAGAATCCTTAATTCCAGTATATACTCAGACACAGCTGCTGACCCTACGGACAAAAGTTTTGGTTATACCAACTCCCATGGTTCAAAATTCCTGAATTCTAGCCTGAAGAAGTCAGAAGACTGGTATAAAAAAATCAATATAGCTATTAGTTCTTCTGTCTTTTGAGCCTTTAGGCTAGTCACATTTTTCAGTTTACTACATAAACCTGAAGGCCAGAAACTTTATGAAATCATTTAAAGAGACAACCTCAGGAACTGAGGCTTGAACACAAACACCTAACATTGTAAGACTCATGATAAAATCAGGAAATCATTATTTTCCTTTGATTTGGTTTTGCAGTGCTATTTTACTGATTTTACTTTGGTTTCATTCTGCATAGCGTGTGCATCAGTAAAGTTTCATCTCCACTAGCCCTTTTGTCAGCATAACTTTTGTTAGGCAGTGGTGTGAAAAAAAAAAACCTGGACTGATGTAAGTTGCACCAATGTAACTACCACCACTCATTAGGAATGGTTAATTATGCTGGAGAGAGAGCGCTCTCCTGCTGGAATGGAGCAGCTGCACTGGGGACCTTAGAGATGTGCTGCTGTAAGGTCTATAGTGTAGACATAGTCAAAGTGCCAGGTCGCTATTCTTTTACAAATCTCTCTAGGGGCAGGGTGTCTGGCCAGGAGGAAGGGGGCGGAGGCAGAAGCAGGGACTCAGTAAAATGGGGTGAGGGGGCTGAGGGTGCAGGAGATGTGTGAGGGGGCTGCGGGTGCAGTGAGTGAAGGTGCTGGGGTCTCAGATTTGTGGAGTATGAGTGACTAGGCTGGGGGTGCAGGGTTTATAACGTCTCCCCTCTCTTCCCCACCCTGGAGCACTGGGGAAGAGGGAGGAAGGAGACTGGGTGTCTGAGGATGGAGGGGCAGCGGGACACAGAGTGATGTGATGTCACAGTTGTCCTGCAGGAAATTGCTTTTTAATATACAGTAAACTTCCGATAATCCGGCACCTTTAGGACCCAGGGGGTGCCGGATTATCAGATATGCCGGACTATTGGAAGGGGGGGCTATGAGGGATCTGGGGTGGTGTGGGGAGGATGCCACTCCAGACCCCTTATAGCCCCCCCCTTCCGATAGTCCGGCTCTGCCCCAGGCATCCCCTATTCAGCCGCTGCTGGTCAGGTTCAGCAGCG